AAAGAGATGATTTTATTTCCGACTTCTGAAATTTCATTTCTTTCAGCATTACCAGCCAGAGGTTTTTCTCCTCTCATTCCATTCCAGTTGTGCCCTTATATTTAGTCACATTATCTCACTCAGTTTGATAACCGAAAGCTTCCCCAGCCTCCCTGGCACTGAGCAGCGTGCTCCCAATGCAGTTCCAGCAGAAGGAGCCCTCCCAGCACAGCAGTGCTGCCCTGTTGCAGCAACTGCTCGTTACACCGTTTCCTTGTGGGCACCGCCTGGGGGGCTCCAGTTCCAGCCCAGCCTCCCCAGCTCCTTCCTTCTGTAGAGCCCTGGGAGGCTGCTGGCTTGGGGGATCCAGAGAGCCCCCCTCCTTCTGCAGGGTTTTTCTCACCTTGCCCAGGTATTTTGCATAGCGGGAGCCAGCCTGGCCCTCTTGGTATCCATCACAGCTGTGGCATCAAACCTTCACCCAGCACAGTGAGGCTGCTTTTCTTTTAACCTGTATGCATCAGCTTTAACCATTGCCCGGTGCTGGGGTAGTTTACTTCATCCTTTCGTTTTTATTTCAGATTGCTTTTTGAATTCCTTTCTGTGTTGCTCTGCAATTTTGATTATTCTATTTCTGCTTTTAATAGGATGTTCACTTTCGGCTGATCTCGGCTGGCATTTTTCCCTTTTGATTTGTCATGCTATTAATTCCCCACTGTTCGATGTTTTGTCTACATTCAGAACGTGTTTGTTTTTCTCTAGTGGCCTGTAATTATTTTCCCCTCCTCCTCTTTAGTTTTTCTTCCTACATCTCCACTGCCGCTACTTAAAGAGCAGTACAGACTAAGGATAATCCCTAGAGGATGTGAATATAGGACTTTTTTGACCTAAGAAAGAAAAAAAAAAAGAGCTTTAAGTCTTTGGTAGGAGCTTGGCTTGAGGGCATTGGTTGTGCTTGGAGTAAACTGAGAAATTAACGTTTAGGCTGTGATGTGGGAGCCCTGCTGCATGTTTGGGGCTGGCCTTGCCCTGCCGCCTTCCTGTACGACAGTGCTGAGCCAGTTCCCCAGAGAGGGGCTGTCTGTGCCTCTCTGGAGCATCTTGTAGGGCTTTTGGGATTTAAACCTCCCCCCGTATTCCCTAGAGACAGAGTCCTCGGTTTGGTCAAGCCTGCCTCTGCTTTAGATGAAGCCGTTTCCAGTGTCTTTCGGCAGGGCAGCATAACTCCAGCTCTACTGAAAATTCAGCGCAAGCCCCAGAGCTGCGTTCACTCGCACAGCGCTGGGCTCCGGCCCCCCAGCGCCCCTCCGGCTCCGGTCCCCGCGCCCTGCAGTTCCTCGGCACGGCCGCAGGGGGGCGCCGCAGACCGCGGGGTGCCGCGCAGCGCGGAGGCGGGCGGGAGGCCTCGCGCAGCGGGCAGCGCAGCGCAGCGCCGGCCGCCGCTTTGCCCAGCGCTCCCCGCAGACGCGTCGGGGCTCCGCGCAACGCCGCCGTTCGGTGCGGGGAGCGCGGAGGAGGTTTTGTGTGCGCGGCGCGGGATAGAAGGCGAGGGGTTTTGGGGGGGAGGAAAGCGGTCGTAAGTAGGTTTGTTAAGGAATCCGGTAAGTTATAGGAAGCAAAATTAAACGTCTGGTGCTTACACGACGGCGTATTTTACAAGGGAGAAGGAAACTGCGCAGAAAATGCATGTGCTTTTATTGTTGGTTTTCATTGCCTGTACTGCGGTGGATGCTTTATGCTATGGAGAGCGAGTTTAATTGAACCAGATCGCTGATTTCATATAACAGAGGGCATGGGGGTTCTGTTTGGTTTTGTTTGCTTTTCGGAATTAACCGTTTCGGGGACGAGAGGCGGCCAGGACCGCGCTCTGCAGCCGCCGCGTTTGGAGCCAGCAAATAAAAACACATTACATGAAAACAAACACCGAGCGCTGCTATCAAAGCTTCCATCTCTGGCTATTATTTTCCCTTGTATTTGGACCTTTTTTCTTTCTTTCTTTCCTTCTTTTTTTCTTTTTTCTTTTTTTTTTTCAATCGCATCTGTCGCTCCCAGCCGTTCCCAGGACCGCAGAGCAGAGCGGACAGCTTCCATGTGACCACCTCAGGACGGGAGGCATTTTCCACTGGGAAACTTCAGAGCGGTTTTCTCCCTTCCTTTCCATTCTGAAAAGAAAGCGTGCAGTCTTCCCAGCGATTAAAGCCGCCGTGTTTGTCTTCAGACTTCTCGGGTTTATCCAAACTTTTGTGTGTGTGCGTGGTGCCCCCCCCCCTCCGCGCAGTTGTAAAGTAGCCCCATCTAGCAATGATAAATATCCCTGTTGATCACTTGATTGATTACCTCTCGGAAAGGTCACGCGGGCTTGCAGTAATTTCCTTTTGCCTAAGGCTCCCTTTTCACTTTTACTCCCGCACGACAGCTCCAAGTATACAGGATCTTTATTTTTGATTTTAACCCCTCAAGAGCTCCCCGAAAACAATGCTGCGGAGGGGAGCGGCGCTGGGAGCCCCCGGCTCTCCCGGGGCTGAGGATTCGGATTCAAACAACCAGACAAGCTATTAATTTACCCATGCTACCCAGGGTCCTGAACCCAATTAATTTCTAATAATTACAGCCCAAGGGGGCTGGAGAGATCCCTCTGCCTCTTTCTAGCCGTGCCACTTCGCGGCACTGAGGTCAGCGTATAATAATAAAGTGTATATTTTGAAAGTGATCAGCAGAACAGTGAGTTATTGCAATGAATGAAAATTGTTTCCATTTTGGCTAATTGAGCCCACGGCTGAAAGCCGGAGTTCTGAGACTAAATAAAGGGGACTGTTTCATTTCAACGTGGGCTGGAAATCCCTGCGTAGCTTTTCGGTCACCCAGCAAGAAGCTTAATTTCTTAACAGCGAACCCAAAATCAAGCGTTGGGTAAACAGTATTAATAATTGCATTACAATGATTAAATTAATCTTACTGGTAGCTAGGAGAATATAGATTGAGATTGAATAACGCGACGTAAAGTTCACTGCACAAAGACAATGGCACAACAAATACCTCGATGAAGAATTCCAACTTTCCTCCAGGCGGGCTGCGAGGCTCGTTCAATTAGAATGGAAGGAAGAGAAAATTTCCTGTTATGGGGAACGCGCCGAACCCCGTGTGCCAGTGGGCGCTATGGGTGTCCCGGCGTTTATTAGAAATAATTTCATCCCTCCCTCCAAAAGCAAAGATTTCTGTTTGCCGGTGGCAGACGAGAGCTGCTCGCATCCCCGCACGGGAGGCAGCCGAGGGAACGAAACGGATTTCCCGGGGGGTTCTCCGGGACTTTCGGGGAAGGGTGCCGAGCGCGGCGAGCCCGAGGCGGGCGGCACCGAGAGCGGCCGGGGAGGGGGCGGGGGGCGGCCGGGGGCGGCGAGGCACCTGCCGGGCTCCCGGGGCCGCTGGGACGGCGGGCAGGTGGCGGTGACGGGCGGCGGGGTCAGGGCTGCGCGGCCCGGGAAAGCCGCAGCTGGGAGCCCACGGGTGTCCGCCGTGCGTGCCGCCTGCGGGGCCGGAGGGGCGGCTTCGAAGGGACCCCCCCGAGAGTGGGAAAGGGAAGGAGAATTGTCCAAAATCGCCGAGGGTTTTCGCGTCTCCCTGAGGCGCGGGTCCGGCGGGGGATGTTTTAGGGTCATGCTCGGGCGGCCCCGCTCGGAGGAGCGCTGCTCGCGGGCAGGGATTAGGGTCGGAAAACGCCCCGTCCGGAGCGCAGCCCCGCAGCCCGACCCGAGCTCACCCAGGAGCGCGACGGCGGCTCCCGGCCGGCACCCCGCGGGGAGAGGGGCACGGGCTGCACCCAGCTCGGCGGCACCTCCTTACAAGAACGATAGCGATAATCATCACAGCAAACCCCAATCGCCAATTAAAAACAACGACGGCATCGACCGCGGCTCCCTGGGGAGCGCCGAGGTCCCTGAGCCGCTTTGGGGGAGCGGCGCGGCCCTAAAGCCACGCGTGGGGGGATCGCGGGTGGGGGGCGGGGAGCTGCGGGCGATGGGGGAAGGGGCGATGGGGAGGATTTTGTTGAAACAAAAAGTTGAGTGGCGTGTATGTACTGGCGCAGCACCGAGTCTGAAAGATTGTAATTTTCTTTTATGGTGTCTGGCAGGATTTGCAACAGATATTAATGGGAACATAAATAGCGCATGGAAGGTATTGAACAAAACTGTTTAATGCAAGGAGGTTGTACCAGAGGAAAATCTATACGTAGTTTGGATTGATTCATACCTCGGACATTGCTATCCCCTAAAGGAGTTCCCAATTTCAGAGCGCTCCCCCTTTGATTGGCAAAGCCTGTAATTAAAGCGCATGAGAGCGGTCGGCGTTGCTGTTCTAAAATCGCTTTTTCTGACCGAGTGGAGTTCGAGGTGGGGAACGTGTGTGCGCCGGGCAAGTGTACGATGTGATGAGATGCATACATAATTAAACATAATCCAATATCTCTCTGCCTATATATACACCCAGAGATCCACGATAATTGCTGCCGGATGAGAACAAACTATTGAAATGCTGCAAAATCGCCAGAGCGGGATGAATATGAATAAAGTTTAAAAAGAAAAGAAAAGAAAAAAAAAAAAAAAAAAAAAAAAAAAAAAAAAAAAAAAAAGAAAAAAAAAAAAAAGAAAGAAAGGGGAATCAAAAGCCAGAAAGAAAGTGTCATTCCTTCCACTCCGGCCCTGCCCGGCCGAGCGCGGATCTCCCGCTCCGTCCCTGCGTGGGCACACAGCGGCAGCCCCACGGCCCCGTCCCGCACCCGGCGGCGTCTGCACGCGTCGTCCCGGCCCGGTCCGGCCCCGGTGCCGGCTGTCAGGGTCCCCTCCGGCGGTGATGGATCGCTGCAAACTTTTTTTTGGCGGCGCTGAAATGTAGAAGAGCGGGGGGGAGCCGCCCGTGCGCATGTGCGAAGGTGTCCAAACTGACAATGCTGGAGAGATAGCGAGCCGGGATTGAGAGAAAGGGAGAGTGTGTGTGCGGGAGAGGGAGAGGAGAGAGGGAGAGGGGGAGCGAAAAAGGAGGAAAAGCTCCAGGAGGAAAAAAAAAAAAGCCCCCCCCGCCCCCCACGCCGGCATCGGCCGCGGGACTGGCAGCATGCGATCCAAAGGCAGGGCGAGGAAGCTGGCCGCAAGTAGGTGCAATCCCCCTTTCTCTTGGCTTTTCCCCCTCGCTCTCTGCCATGTTGCATAGACGTGTCTGGTGCGGCGCGGAGCTCCCCGCAACCTGCAGCATCCCGGCCCGGCCCGGGGGAGCCGGCGGGGGCCGGGGGGCTGCGGCGGTCGGAGCCGGGGCCGGGGCCGGAGCCGGCGTGGGGGCTGCGGGAGCCCGGCGGGAGGTGGGGAAGGAGTTGAGGAAAAGTTCAGTGGCGAGCGCTGGAAGTTGCTGCCGCTGCCGGGGGCTGGAGGGGGGGGATCCGAGAGAGAGGGGGGTGCGAGGGGATCCGAGCCCTATAGTGGGCGCTGTCGGCCGTCCGTAGGGCCGGGGGCCGCGGGGGGGTGGGTCGGGGGGATGGGGAGGTGTGTGCGTGCGTGTGAGTTTGTGTGCGTGTTTGTGTTTGCGTGTGCGCGCACCGAGGGGCGGCCGTAGCTCGGCGAGCCCCGGGCACAGGTAGCGGGCGCGACCCCCGCTTGCGTCCCCCTCTAGCAAGCAATATTCACGCACGCGATATCCGCGCGGCGCGGGACGAAGCGAAGAGAGCGGAGCGTGGGAGCGCCGCACGCGTGGGGCTGCGCGGGTTTTGCGCGGCGCGCAGCGGGCGGCTGCAGCCTGCGCGGGTCAGCGCGGAGAGCGGAGCGGAACGGCGGGACTCTGCGCCGGCCCGGCGCTTCTTTGCTTCGGCCGCTCCCGAGGACCCGGCCGGCCACGCGCGAATGCCGAGCGGTTCTATGAGTCGCCGAACGCTCGCCCCGTCCGTTTCTCCTCTCTGATAGGGATCTTTCTTTAAACGCAACCTTTTCTTTTAAACGAGGGACTCGACAAAAAAAAAAAACTTCACCACCTTTCGCGTCCTATTTTAAAAGCAGCTGATGTCTTTATTTCCTCTGACACATCTGGGCAAGTTGCAGTTGATAGCCATGGCGATGGCAAAACAACAGGCAGGCGAAAAGACAAAAAAAAAAGTCAGATGAAATGTTGCATAAGTTGTGTGACGCAAAAACCAGCTGCTTATTTACCCTTTATTTGTGAAGAAAAAAAAAAATAGACAAGCGCGGAAGCGAAAGATCTCTCCGGATCCTCCTCGGCTTCCCCGCGAACCGTAACAATAACAGCAGCGACCCGCGTTCGATGTGGCGATTTTCAAGCGTGCGGCGCAGCGCACTCGATTAGGAAACAAACACGCGTCGAAGCCGCGCTGTCCGCCCCGCTCGGCTCCGGCGGCCCCGCGCCCCCCCGCCCCCCCGCCCGCCGCCCCCCGGCCGCAGCGCTGCCCTCCCGCACAGCTCCAACTCCGCACTGCGCCTCGGCTCCCGCTGCCCCAGCAGCGCTTTCCACCGAACCGCAAGCGTTGCGTTAATAATCGTTCGCTCGCAGCTCGCTCCGAAAGGGAACAGTGGCTAAAAAGCTGAGATTATATAGAGAGATTTTATTTGGCGTTCCGAAAAACTCTGTTTTCTGCCGAATTGCGGCTCGGTTTCGCGGCGAGCTGGGCTGGCGGCGACCCCTGGGCTTCAGCTGGGGAAGTTTTCAGCTTCTCGCTTCGTTCTTTCGGGGCCGGGAAAAGAAAAGTTTCTGCAGCCCGAACCCTCTTAACCCTCTTCGGTGGCAAATCGCAGAGATCGGGGGAGACAGCGCTCCTCGTCATTTCACTTCTGTTTTTTTCTGCGTGTGAAATAAAACTGGCCCAGGCGCCGTGCCCGCCGCTGCTGTTCATCAAAGCGTTTCTCTCGCAATTCAAGGTGCGCGTTTTCTCGCCCTCAGTGTAAAATGACTTTAAAAAAAGCCATTTTTGAGCTCCCTCCTCCCCGAAAATCATACTGAAAAAAAAAAAACACCACCAAACAAACCAAACAATCAGAAAAACCAAAACCGGAAAGAAGGAATGAGAAGCGAATATTTCCAAACTCCAGCTTTAAAAATAAGGGGAAAGACGAGCGCTTGCGAAGGGCGGGCGGCTGGGAGCGGTGCGTGGGGCTGCGGGGCTGCGGGGCACTGAACGCGGCTCCGGCCGAGCTCTGCACCTGCCCTGTCGGTGCGGGGCCGCCGCGCAGCCCCCGAGCCGCTGCTTTTCCCCTGCGCCGACTTTCCGTATCCCCAAATAACCCCCGCAGCCGCAGCCCCGCAGCCGGCCCGGCTCGGCCCCCACCACCCAGTAGCCTCGTAAAGAGACAGAAGGTGATCAGATTAGGGGAACACACGGCGAGAGGGAGGCACTTGTTACTTTTACACTTTATCACCGCTTTTTTACAGGCAATTTAGTGCAGCCAAGGTAGATCCAGATCCCTCTAACCATCTGAGATAGTAAAATAACACTTTCCTAAGTTTCAGCAGGTTTTCCTGCGCCTGTAATTTGCTTCAGTCCAGTACTTAAAAGCCTTGATTGAAAAAAAGAGCCGGCGAGTTTATTTGCCTGTTTAAGACTCGGTCCGGGAATTTGTTTTCGAGTAGGGAGACGTTTGCCACGTCCAGGCTCCCGGCCCTCGTAGCGAGGCCGTTTATTTGCCATTACTTCGCCGTCACCCACCCCTACCCGCGCCTGCACTGCGGCCGCCGCCCCGCGTCAGCGCTGGAGCAGCCGGGCCCCGCTCCGCACCGCTCTGCTCCGCACCGCCCCGGGACCCGCCGCTGTCCCCGGATGGCTTCTGAGCGGCGGGCTGCAGCGCGGGAGGTGCGGGGGCCGGCCGAGACAATCCATTACATGCCGGGCACATTTCACGAGGCGCTGCATTAACCCTTTTCAGGATGTGGAGCCTGCGTCTGCCTTTCACTCTTTCTTCCTTTCCCCCCCTTTTTTTTTTCCTCCCTGCTTCTCTTTCCTTCTCCCAACCCTCTCCTCCTTTTATCTCCCTCCTTTCCCCCCTCTTTCCTTCCTTTCTCTCTTTTTCCTTCTTTCTTTTTCCCCCTTTTCTTTCTCCCATTCTCCCATTCTCCC